GTAGCCAAATTAATGGCTCTTGATCTCAGGATGACATTTAGTGCAGTTCCTTCAACATAGCAGGTACTCAACTGAAAAGTGTTGTGTGAACCAAAAGGGTCTGGAAAGTATGTCTTTCAGTACTTGAAAACATACTTTCTAACATGTCTAATATCTACTAGGAAAGCTTATTATGCCAAATGAAATAACTTGGTGGTGATTTTTGTAAACTGATACCCTGTGAGTCAAAACCAGCCAAACTGGGGAGTAAAGAAGGGAGAGATGGTTATTTACAAGTTTTAATTTGAGTATCTTTTGTCCAGACAAGTATAACCTGATTCACCACGGTCCTTATTACTCTGTTATCTTACACTAATCTGATTTCTGTATTTGTGTCATCTAGAAATCTAAACAGATTTTTCTTCCCTTGGCAGTGTTGGGGATTGAACCTAGAGCCTCGTGCATGCTAAGCAAGCACTCTACCACTGAACTATAATCTCATCCCTAAAGATGAGAATTCTTAAAAGTGATAGGTAGCTTCTTCCAAACATTTCTGCTTTTTGAGTGTTACTCCTATGAGATTTACTGTGTGTCCCTCCCCCAAAAAACATTTATATGTAGAGATGAAGAGGAAGACCCTGTGAAGACAAGAGGGATGAAACAGCCATCTATAACCCAAGAAGAGAGGCCACAGGAAGACAACCCTGCCTATACTTTCATCATGGACTTCTAGCCTCCAGGACGGTGAGAATATAATATCTGTGTGTAAGTCAATCTGTGATATTTTGTTATGATTAACTTAGCAAAGTAATACAAAGTGACATCTAACTTTAATCTAAATTTAGGCATTTTTACATCAAAACTTATTTTCAAGTTCAAGGTATTTTGTCAGGTACAGTGGTGAATACTAAATAGCTTAGAATTTAGTCACTGAGGCAAATTATATAAAAGAAATATTTGTAAACATAAATTATAAACATTATAAGGTGAAAATCAAAAATGTCAAATAGAGAGTATATCTTACATTGTATAGTTATTCAGAAGGAGAGAGTTGACTATAGGCTAGATCACCAAATATTCACAATTTGAGCTTGGTCTTGAAGAATAAGTAAGATTCAACCAAGTACAGAGGAGAAGATATCCAGGAGAAAATGTACAAAAGCAAATATATGACTATAGGGTTTTTGTGTTGTGTTGTGGATTGAACTTGGGGTGCTCTACCACTCAGCTGTATCCCCAGTTCTTTTTAATTTTTATTGGTATATGTTTGCAGTGCATAATGATTACTTCTATCCATCCTGGGGAGTTGTACACGTACATAACACATCTTAATTCGTTTTATGTCCCTTTCCCCTATCCTCCATCTTTTGGTCCTCCTTCCATTTGCAAAAGGTCTATCTCTCTGCTTCTTATTGTCTATCTTTTATTTTGCTCTTTAATTTATTTATACTTTGGGTTTCTTATATAAGAGAAACCATGTAATATTTAAGCTTCTGTGTGTGATTTATTTCACTTACCACTATGGTCTCAAAGTGTATCCAAAGACTCAAATTGATCTTTTAAAAAAACCTTGAAAGGGGTGTGGATCACTTGCAGGATCACTGAAAGTTCAAGACCAGCCCAGGCTACAAAGTGAGTTCAAAGCCAGCCTGAACTACATAGGGAAACCCTGTCTCAAAAAGACAAAAAAAAAAAAAAAAAAAAAAATTCTTGAGACAGGGTCTCACTAAGTTGCCAGAGTTGGCTTCAAATTCGTGATCTTCCTGCCTCAGCCTCCCAAGCAGCTGGAATTGTAGGCACGGCCCTTTCTCTGCTTTCTAAAGTCTAAATCCACTATGCGTTTTCAAATTAATGGTCTAACTAAAACTTCTGGCTTTTTCCTCTCTCACTAGATAAATAACATTTTAATTGACTTTCTTGAGTATAATATTGATATCTCAAAGATAGTCTGGTCCATTGTTAAAGCCTCTTGGGTTGCTGAGCTGGTTTATTTTCAAATGGCCTATGTAGCTCATGGAACGTTCTCTTTTGAAATCCTGGGCATTTTGTGATCCCTTGCTGATTTATCAAATCTCATCACATTATATAGTTCCACAATGCAGGTGGCCTGTGTTTTAAGTGCCTTCTCTTTTTATAAATGTATTACTGAGCTCATTAATGTTTCATATCTAAGTATTCTAATGTATTTAATTTTTTATTTAATAAAATTTCTAACCTTCAGGCTGAGGAAAGTTATTCAGAATATTTCATTCATGCTGCTGGAAAAGTGCTCATTAGCAGAGAGTTTTGAAGATGGAATTTTAAGAAAGGAGTTGGCAGGAACCTAAACACATACAGATCTAAGCTTTCATAACTTCTTCCCTGCAATAGGATTTGGTGAGATCTTGGTGAGGAGAATTTAACGGCTTTTGTTGTTTACTGTAAGATGCTATTTTTACACTGTAAGATTTTATTTTAAAGTTACAGAATTATCTGTCTGCAGAAGGCTTTATTTGTCTTCTATCTATTCAACAATATTTACTTTCATAAATGAGACAGATTTATGTGAGACTGAGGAGAACAAATAAAGATAGGTCAAAAAGATACAGGAAAACTAAATTTTTTTTGTCTCCCTTATTACCTTAAGACTCTGGATCAAATTCTGACTAGCCCTGCAGGTAAGCATGTATCATTTAGGAAAAGTTGGCAAAACGAGGTTTATTTGCCTTAAATTTACCTGGCCTACCTCATCCCCTTTCAAGACTGAGGACATCAAGTTAAGAATAACTATTTTTCAGGATTTACAGGGACATCTGATTACCAGCTTTTACAACATCCAGTTCCAGAACCCACTGAAGCCATGCCTAGAAGTCTTCAAACTTGTAATCACCTCCCCCTTAAGGAAAAGCAAAGCCCTGCAGACCACTTCATGATGAGATCACCTTCTCAAACAGAAGTGATCATCTCTTGTAAACCCAATTGCCCCTCAAGCCATAAGGATTACTCCAGACAAATGGAAACCAGAACTCAAATAATAAGCAAACAAATCCTGATTCATCTCAGCTAGTCCTTAAAAGCTGGCCTTCTGAATGACCAATGATGTTGAATATTTTTTCATGTATTTATTTGCCATTTGTATCTCTTCATCTGAGAAGTGTGTATTCAGCTCAGATACCCATTTCTGGATTGGGTCTTTTAATTTGGGGGGGGGTCTTTGAGAGATGCAAATTAAAACAACACTGACATTTCATCTCACCCCAGTAAGAATGGCTACCATCAAGAAATTAACCAACAACCAATGCTGGAGGGGCTGTAGGGAAAAGGGAACTCTTCTCCACTGTTGGTGGCAATGTAGACCAGTGCAACTACTTTGGAAATCAGTCTGGAGATTCCTCAAAAATTAGAATTAGAGGTCCCATTTAACCCAGCCATTCCCCTTCTGGGTATTTTCCCAGAATTAAAGACATCATACCATAGTGATATATGTGCACCCGTGTTTATAGCAGCACAATTTGTAATAGCAAAATCTTGGAAACAACCCAAATGTCCATCACCTGAGAAGCAGATATGAAAAATGTGGTATTTTTATACAATGGAGTATTACTCAGCTATAAAGGTAAACTCGAGGCTTTTATAGGTAAATGGATGCAACTAGAGACCATACTCATAAGTGAAATAAATTAGGTCCACTTGTGTAAACACTGTCTCCCTAGTGTAAGAATCTGAAAGAGTAAATAAAACTGAAAGGTAGATATTGTGAAAGGGAAAGAAACTGCTTAATGGGAAAGACTACTACTTTCTTTCGGTTTATTGAAAGGAACAGTTAATGTTTGTTCGATCAATCTTGCATACCTATATCTGGTAATCTGAGCAACTACTTTAAAGATAACAATCAGGAATACAACAATCATTGTTGATTTCCTATCATCTTGTTTTGAAATTCTGTGCTATTTTTATAGTTTTTGGGTTGTTTTGTTTTTGTCTGTTTTTGTTGGTTTTGTTCTTTTCTCTTTAAAATAAAAAATAAAAGCTGGCCTCCATCTTTCGTGATCCAACCAGTCTGAACACCTTCCTCAGGGTGTGTTCCCTTCAGTTACTCTAGCTGTAATATTTTCCTATTCTTCATTGCCATGTAACTTTACCTATTAACCTTCTCTGTGCCTCAACTGCACATCCCCTCAAATTCCTTTTCCATAACTTGAGGTGAGAGCCTATGCAGTGGGAGAGAGTTGAGATCCCAGGCTCTTCCCTGGACCTGCTCAGTGACAAGACTATCATCATTAAATGAAATAGGAACCATGTTTATCATGTAGGTTAAGTTTAGATTAAAATGATTTGCCTAAAGAACGGGGAGAGTCAGCTGAATTCTTTTGATCCTTGGAATGGTTATGCCCAAACTCCTGTTCATTTTACAGCCTGCCTTTAGATTATGGGCATTTAAGAAAGTCAGAGAACCTTTGAGACTGTTACAGAAAATTAAAAAAAAAAAAAAAAAAAAATTCAAGCGTCTTGCCCATTTTCCTGGAACGTCTGGGTCAGAAGGAACGAGACCTTTGTAACTCAAACTGCACAAGATGTTTAAAGGCGAAGAAATGCATAGAGCTCAGTTTCAAAAACCCACATAAGCAGCTACTGAACGTTTAAGAATTCAAATTTTCCACTTTTCTGCTGTTCGTTTGCTTGTTTATAGTACCACTGTGTGCCCCAAACACAGTACGTGTCGACTCTGGGGTTTTACTCTTGTGTGAAGAGGAGTATAGCCACACGCTCACCTTGGGGAACCACCTTGCACGTTGTAACTGGACAGGTAAATAGTTTGGTGAAAGAGAATAAGGGAAATAGAGCTGGTGGCCTGCGAGAACATTCATGAGGACCCGGAGGTGGAAGTCCCGACTCCCAGGACCACCTAGGGAGGCTTTTCCGGTGGAGCCTCGCTCTGGGGTCGGAAGTCACTTCCACCTGCCCGCCCGGAAGCCGTCGTCCTAGCAACACGGTATCGCCCCGCCCTCTTCCCTTCGCCACACCCATTGTCTTTAGGAGTCTGGGGCCAGCCGGACTTCGATTGGCTCCTCCGTCCTTCACTCTGCGCGGGACTAGCGGGTGGGGCTCTGGAGCGCCGTTTTGAATTTGTGGCGCTTACACAGTGGGCGAGGTAGTGTTTGTGGAGTTCGTGGTGCGGCTGGAGCCAGCGACTCACCGGTGAGAGACTGCGAGGGGGGAGTAGTCAGCCAGGGCTGCGGGAGCTGGAGGGGCGCAGAGTCGGACAGAGCTCTAGACAGGGACTTCAGGGGGCCGCCTCCCGCCCCTGCGGCGGGGCCCGTGCTGGCCTCTGGGATTTTACCTCAAGGGGGTCCCCTCGCGGGTCCGCGACGCCGGCCGGCCCCTGCCCCCGCCTCAGCGCCGCCCGCCGCCGCGGCGCCCTTTCCTGCGCAGCTCTGTCAGCCTGTCCCTCCCCGAGGCACACCCCAGCTTACACTTGCCTCCACCATGTTGCGCCCCTCCCATCTCCGACACCGACACGGCCCGAAACTTTCTTCATGTATTTGACACCGGGAAGATGGCTCCCAAACGGAGTCCAGGACGTTCCTTAGCAAGCAAGGCTGCAGCCGCCCTGCCCCTTCCTAGAGGCACATAGTGCAGGTCATGTGGAAGGTGCAAGCGAAAACGCTCTGCAGAGCACTACGAGAATGTAAGTTATTGAACTCCTGTCGAAAACGCAATTACCTTGTCCTTGGATCCCATTAATATATTCATGTCGTACTGGGCTATACAGCCTCGGAAAATAAAGCCCCCATGGTCCATTGGAGGGCAAGCAAACTCTTCCAACTTCTCACTGGGGCCAGAACAACCACTCTTTGACACCCTACCCTCAGTAACCTTAGCATCTATGTCTGGTGGGATACTCCACCTCCCTATTGCCATTTAATTTCATGTCTATTGAGATTCTGGGCCATTTCAGGAGATTTACAGTACAGACAGCTTTCTTCTGTGGGGGACTATGAAAATCCTCACTATTCTTTCCAAGTTTTGTATGTTTGTTTGTTTGTGACTGGGTCTTGTTAGGTAGCCCAGGCTAGCTCCAACTCAAGAGTAATCCTGCCTCAGCAGGTGTGCACCACCAAGTCCCACTCTTCCTTTCCAATTTTTAAGAGCTTCTCTATGCCTGTCCTCCAGAACAGAGGTTCTGTTTCTTACATTCCTTTTGAGTTGGACATAGGAGGAGATCATAGTCCTCTTTAATAACCAGGAAAAAAATTGATGCTTTTCTCCAGAATATAACACATACATGCAAAATTTTGCATCAGTTTCAAACTTTTTTTTTTTGAAATGTGGATGTACTTAAGACCCAGTCTAGCTCTAGTGGCTTATTTCTATTTTTTAGTAGAAATGACCAAGCAGCAAAACCAAGTATTTTACAAAATGGCCATCATTTAACTCCTGAATTGTTTTAAGGCTTGTAATTATGAGGGAGGTGGCAATTTAAAGGGCTGAAAAGGAGCACTCTTAAGAACATTTGAAAAGCCCTTAGAGCTTCCTAAAGTTACAGGAAGATCATCCAGAGATAAGAGTAGTGTATGGGCACAGGGAATTAAAAAATGAGTAGATATGGTATCCAGAGTATGTATGTATGTATGTATGTATGTATGTATGTATTTTTGAGACAGGGTTTCACTACGCAGTTCAGGCTGGCCTTGCACTCACTTTGTAGCCCAGGCTGGCCTCAAACTCACATTGATCCTCCTGCCTCAACCTCCTGAATGCTGGGATTACAGGTATGTGCCACCAAGCCCAGACTAGGAAATTTCTTGATCAACGTGAAGAGTAAAAAATCTATATTCTTTAATTTTTAGATGTTTTATATTAATTTTCATTGTGAAATTTTACTAGTATGCCCTGAATATATTCTCTATTCTGTAGAATCATTTCCAGCATTGTTTTTTCACCTTAGAATTTATGTGGTTTATCTGAAATTTATGTTTGTATATGATGTGAGAAATGGCTTTAAATAATTTTGTGGTGTTTTGTTACTATTTCAAAAATCATGGCCCAGCTGTGCTCAGTGCTGCATACCTGTAATTTCAACTGGCTGGGAGGCTGAGGCAGGAGGACTGCAAAGTAAAGTTCTGAGAACATAACCATACTTATTTGTTTATTTATTATCTATGACTGCTTTTCTTCTACAATGTCCAAGTTGATTCCTTGTAACAAAGACTATATGGGCTTCAAAGCTTAGCATATTTACTGATCCTTTACCAAAAAAGTTTATGAATCCCTGGGCTAAACATCATTTTGCCACTGCTAATGTCATAAACATCTTATCTATATGTGTGCCTCAATTTTTGGGCTTTGTAGTCTCTTCCCTTTTCAAACCCTGCATATATTATATCTCTGAAAAAAATGATTGAATATCCAATAAGGTAAAATGCTCACCCATGTCCCACACCAAGTTGTTCTTTTGCCTCAGTGTTCTTGGCCCTTTGTCATCCATGTGAATTTGTGAATTTTATGATCAGCTTAATGCCATGAGAATTGTTTTGAGTTTCTGATAGGAACTGCACTGAATATGCAGAGTAACATAGGAAGAATTGTCATCTTTATAATAGTCAGTCATCCCAACCATGAATATTGTATACCCTAATTTCTTATGTCTTCTAATGTGATTCTATAACTTTATTTTTAGAGTTCTCATGAGGGAGATTAGTTTTTGCTTTTTTGCTTTATTGTGATTGTTTAGAAATAGAGCAATGATTGTTGACATCTTTAAATGATCTTAGATTGTATTATCTTGTATTTATTTATTTATTTGACAAGGTCTTGCTATATAGTAGTTCAGGTTGGCTTTGAACTCATTATATAGCACAGGTTGGCTTCGGACTCCTGTCGATCTTCCTCCCTCAGCTTCTTGTGTGCTGGGATTATAGGCTTGTGTCACCAAACCTGGCTCTGTTTTGTATTTCTTGAAGAAGTTCAGCATTCTTTTGTTGTTGCTAAATATCTGGTAGGATACATACTTCTAGGCATGGATTTTTCTTTGTGAGGTGCTTTTAATGAAATTAAGAAATGAAAGCAAATTGTTTGCCAACATCTTACCCTATCTGGCACTTCATTTCTTTTTGTGAATCCATGTTTGTATCATTTTAAGTTTGAAGAACTTCCTTTAATATTGCTTGTAGTAAATGCTTCTTGGTGAAAATTCTATCAGTGTTTCTTTGCTTGAGAGTGTTTTTATTTAATTTTCATTTCTGAAAGGTTTCTTTTTAAACTGGGTTATGTAATTTTTGGCTAACTCTTTTAGCATCTTAAGTTCTATTATGGTTTCTGTTATTTTTAAGCAGGTATTTGGGGTGGTTCTTTGTTCTCTGATATATAATGTGCACTTCCCCTACCCCTTCTTTTTTTGGGTCATTTTTCTGGAGGCATAATTTACACATTGTAAAATTCATCCTTTTTTATGAATGTAGGTCTGTGAGTTTTGACAAATATCAAGAACTACTGCCACAATCAGAATAGTTATTTCTGTAACTCTGTAAAGTTCTTTCATGTCCTTTTATTATCAATTCCCTATGTTCAAACTCAACCACTAGCAACCACTGATATAGGGTTACATTTTGAGAATATCATGTTCACAGAATCATGTAAAACACAGCTATTTCAGTATGGCTTCTTTCACTTGGTATGATACTTTTAAGATTCATCCAGTTTGTGTATACTCTGTAACTTACCCTTTTTAATATGTGAGTAGTATTCCAATATATATATGTACCACAGTTTATCCATTCACCAGTAAATGGACATTTGATTTAGATATAAAGCTATTATAAAAATTTAGCACCAGGCATGGTGGTACACATTGGTAATCCCTGCACTTGGAGAGACTGAGACAGGAGGATCATATCAAGTTAAAAGCCAACCTAGGCTACCAACCTGAAATAACATAGCAAGACCATATCCCCCCACAAAAAAATTGTCTATAGGTCCTTCCATTGTCATAAATTTTTATTTTGGTTGGTGGTTACCTGGGAATGAAACTGCCAGATCGTATGGTAAGTGTATGTTTAATTTCATAAACTGTTAACCAAATATTTTCCCAAAGTGTTGGGTCTCTTTTGCATTTCCTTCAGTAGCATATCTGTTCCAGTTATTCTAAATTCACCTTAGTTCTTGGTATTGTTAATAATTTAAATTCTGGCTATTACAGTAAGTATGTACTGATTATAGTTTTAACTTGCATTTCTTCAACAACTGATGATGTAGAGCATCTTTCATACATTTATTCACTATCTCTACATCTTCAGTAAAGCATCTTTTTTTTTTACAGCTTTATTGGGATACACTTGACATACCCCAAATTGCATATATCACCACAACCAAATTAATGTACATGCTACAATATGGGTGAACCTTGAAAACATTATGTTAAATAAAAGAAGCCAGTAACAAAGTGCCACATATTATGTTAGCTCATTTCTATGAAATATCCAGAGTATGAAAATCCATTGAGAGAAGTAGATTCATGGTTAGGGACTAGAAGGGAGAGAATAGGGAGTGACTGCTAAAGAATATAGGATTTCTTTGGGGGATGATGAAAATGTTCTAGAATTGGATGTGATGGTTGCATTGCTTTATGAAAATTCTGAAATCTAATGAATTGTATACTTTAAAGGTTGAGTTTTATGGTATATGAATTATATTTCAATATAGCTGTTTTTAAAAAAGGAAAAATGACACTAATTATTGTTCAAAAAACGTTATAATTGAAAAATATGAAAGTAGCAAAATGTCCATCAGCAGAAGAATGATTATAAAATAGTTGTATATTCTCAAAACAAAAAGTGAAAATATTGAAATAATAAAGCAGAGCTATATGAATCCATATGATCAATGTAACAATCATAGTTTGAGCAAAGAAAAAAAAGGTTGCAGAGCAATCTATAACATAATACAGAATTAGAGTTTAAAAACATTTAGAACATTAAAAGACTTAATAAAAGCATAAAAATATGTGGGGATGATAAACATCAGTTTCCAGGTAGTAATTAGTTGTAGAGATAGCTTGTGTGGTGTGTACCTGTGAAGGGGAGAGAGGGAGAATGTTAATGTTATTAAGGAAGATACACAGAATGTTTCAACTATACTGGTAATGTTTTATTTCTTAAACTATATTTAAGAAGTTTTATTTGTTTTTAGAGTATTGCAAA